TGTAGATATAAATTCTATTCTTTGCATCAGCTGGGCATGGCAGGGTATGATATGACAGCTGTCATAGCCTACCCTGCTCACCCAGTAAGTCTGTTGGTTTAATTAATTAATTAATTCGTTTCAAAATAAATGTTTTAAACACCAAGACAAAAAGGAAGGAATAATAAATTGGCTTGGGTATATATAGGCCTAAAATATTCATGCAAGAACGTCTCGGTTACGTATGGTAACCCTCGTTCCCTGAAGGAGGGAACGGAGACGTCACGTCGGATGACCGACGAAATTGGGATCTCGCTTAGAGAGACCAATCTACTTCGAGTGTAAACTAAACGAGCCAATGCACATTGGCATGCGATTATTGCATCCAGCTGCTGCTGATCACAGCGTGAGTATAAGTAGGCAGCAGATGCACCGCATATTCAGGTTTTCGCTGAGGAGCCGAGCCGGTGACCCGGCCGCTCAGCGGTGGTACAGGAGCTGTGGCGACGGGACGTGACGTCTCCGTTCCCTTCGAATATTCAAGCTGTTTATTAATTTTTCCACCCATGAACGAAAAACGAAAATTTAAGCTGAATTCTCGTTTTTCGTTTTTTGGAAAAAAAACAAAAAAACGAAAAAGGAGCCGTTTTCTCATTTTTCTATTTTCAATATTAAATAAAAAAACGAATGATCGAATGATACACGGATTGTACACAGACCCACTACATTGCTACATGTCAAGTTCATTCAGAATCATTCAGCCTTTAAAGGTGCTTTCACACTTGGTACAACTGTTTGGTCCGACCCAAGTTCGATTGATCCCCCCTCCCCCTGTCTGTGCTGAATGGTGTTTACGCAGTAGTTTTTGATTCCAAACCACAATACATTTACATCATCAGCGTGGCAGCTGTTTACTCCTGTTGCTAGGTAATGACTATGCGAAATGAATGGATGCTGGCTTGCTTCACTTTTGTACTTGGATCCTGGTTCACATGAACCATAGCCCAGAACTTCCTTTTTGGCGGACTCAGGTACGGTTCGCGGGTATGCACCTGAGTTCAGAAAACAGTGCTCACATTATCCAAATCCACTGACATCAAATATACACCACACGTGCTAGTGTGAAAGCCCCCTAAGACTAAGTTTCAGTAGTGGGTAGGAATAATGCATTAGTAGCAGTCTTAATGGATAGCTCTAACCTATTACAATCTACAGTCATGGCCAAAAGTTTTGGCAGTGACATAAATTTTGTGTTTTGCAAAGTTTGCAGCTTAAGCTGTTGTGGTGTTCATTCACATTGTTTCTAGATTATTGTGTAGAGTGATCAGATGCATTTTAAATAATTGCTAAAAGCTTCATTGGCCAAAAAATGAACTTTTCATAAACAAACAAACAAAAAAATTTCACTGTTTTTTGATCCTGACACAAAATGACCAGCTAACATTAATTTACTAATCATATCAGCAGCACATGTGAAAGTGTGAATGAGTACTAGTCAGGTGAAATCATTATCATACTAATTAGATGGTAAGAGCAGACCGATTGCTATAAAAGGAGGGAAGAAGTTAGTCCAATCATTGTGTTCTTGTTAGCAATGGTTACCTCCAAAGAAACACGTGCAGCTATCATGGCATTGCATCAAAATGCCTCACATGCAAGGAAATTGCTATAAAGAATATTGCACCTGAAAGAACCATTTACCGGATCATCAAGAACTTCAAGGAGAGAGGCTTGACTGCAGCGCCAGGACCGTCTGCTCCTGAGGAGTCAGCTACAGAATCGTGTCACCAGCAGTGCAGAGCTTGCTCAGGAATGGCTGCAGTTTGGTGTGAGAGCATCTGCACGCACAGTGAGGGCAAGACTTTTGGACCACAGCCTGGTGTCAAGAAGGGCAGCAAAGAAGCCACTTCTCTCCAAGAAAAACGGCAAGGACAGAATGAAATTCTGCAGGAAGTACAAGGATTGGACAGCAGAAGACAGGTGCAAAGTTATTTTCTCTGATGAAGCTCCCTTCCGACTGTTTGGGACATCTGGAAAATCGATTGTTCGGAGAAGAAAAGGTGAACACTACCATGAGTCCTGTGTTGTGCCAACAGTGAAGCATCCTGAGACCATCCATATGTGGGGTTGCCTTTCAATCAAGGGAGTGGGCCCTCTCATAATTCTGCCCCAAAACACTGCCATGAATAAAGAATGGTTTCAAAACGTCTTGCAAGAGCGACTTCTTCCAGCGATCCATGAGCAATTTGGTGATCTGTGCATTTTCCAGCATGATGGAGCACCATGTCACAAAGCAAGAGTGATAAAGAAGTGGCTCCAAGATCATTACATTGAAATTTTGGATCTGTGGCCAGGCAAGTCCCCGGATCTCAATCCCATTGAGAACCTGTGGTCAGTCCTCAAAAGGCGAGTGGACAAGCAGAAGCCCACAAATTGTGATCAACTCCGAGAACTAATAAGGCAAGAATGGATCGCCATCAGTCAGGATTTGGCCCAGAAGCTAATATCCAGCATGCCAGAGCGAATTGCAGAGGTTATGAAGAACAAGGGTCAACACTGTAAATATTGACTCATTATAACTTTGCAAAACACAAAATTTATGTCACTGCCAAAACTTTTGGCTATGACTGTACACTAAAATGCTGGATCAAAAACAACCAAATCTGGGTCATTTTGGCAAGCCAGCGCTGGCTAGTTTTGACACAGCTGGGTTGGGTTAAATGTGACCCAACATGCAGGGCTGTTAGATTTAACCCTAGAATGCCTGAACCCAAAAAAAATTACACAAATGCATAGTCAAAAGGAACAGTATTGGAATTAATGGTTATTCAGCATTACACTTTTCAAAAGCTATTTTTATTAAACCGTTAAGCTGTTTCTGGGTGTTTTTGCTTAATGCTTTTTTAAAAAATTTAGATTATTACTGTCTGTGTTGCTATTGTAGTCATTAGGGTTGGGTACCGGTACCCGGCATGTATGTATCATATGAATCATAACAGATTTCAGTGCCTCATTTCAGTGCCACTTAAATGCCTGAGCTGTCAATTGAAATTTTTGCCCCTGGTGCTCCGAAAGGGACATAGCATCACCAAATGTGATCGCTAGTTAAATTATTCTGCGTTCATGTGGTGTCAGAATAATCAGAAAACTATCCGAGGAGTGCGTGAATGCAGCAGTTGTAATTGCTCTGCTGGCAGCAGGTAGCCTACATTAAATGTGCTTAAATTAATAACTTTCAATGAGAAGCGTTTCTAAACCTGTTGTCCAACTAAAGAGAACCATATATTGTCACAGTCGCGTCACACTGTCACAGTGTTTATTGTCTTCATGTTTCATCATTCAAAGCATTTCTATATATTTTTTAAATTTAGTTACAGCAATAGGTAGATACCTTTGCCCATATTAGGAATTTCCTGGAGCGTCATGAGTTCTATTACTTCTGTGATGCATATGTGGACTTTCTGCAAGAGGGCACACCGATTTGGCACTGGTATCGTAAAAAACCTAAACGATACTCAACCCCAGTAGTCATTCTGTGTTATTTTTAATTTCCAACCCATTTTGGGTTAATTTGAATCCAGCAGTGTAGTGATTTTTAGACAATAATTGAGTTAACCCTTGAATGCATAAAGGGTATTGTAAAACAGTAGGCAAAAATACCAGATGACCTACTTTCGCCAACATTCTGAAGTTAACATCCACTGGACACTTTAAGGATCGCAAATGCCAGGAAAACAACAGAACACACTTTGTAGCTCAAATGACCATGCCAGCATGGTGGACGTAGTACATTCAGATTGCATTCATACTACACAAATGCATGCTGCTTGATGTTTATACCATACACATGCATACTTATTTAACTGTTAAAGTTTTTTTTATTAACTATAGAACCAAGAAAGGAGAGCTGAAGGCCCAAACAAATGGAGGTGCAAACATTCCTAAATGTTATGTTTAGAAAGGTGCAAATTGCATGTGAATTGTTTTTATATGTCTGCGAAGATCACTTTCACTTGATTTGTGAGAAATGTGCGAAGTGAAGGTTCAGAATGGAAAGTTTAGAAAAAGTTACATTTTAAAAATACATGATTTTTTTTGTATTGCATGTACACAGAGGGAAGTAAACAAATGAAGATGTTTGATATATTAAAACATTTGTATGTGACCAGTTACTTTAGTTATTTCATTAATATGACACGTTTTTGTGTTTAAGAACAAATTTGACCAGTTATATAATTTTTTTCCCACCAACAAACACATTTTAGTAGCAGTATAATTAGTAGTATTTTGTTATCAACGTGTTGATCATCACTACTAGCCTATAAAAAATGCTTGATTGACTGATGTTTGTTAAAAGTTTTGTTATGCTTTCAAATCATATCAAATATGAGTGTATCTTTGTGAAAAGCTGTTATTTTGTGAAGATAAGCATATTCTAAATCGTTCATCGTACAGTTTATGAATGAACGTGTATCGTTCATTATTCACACAGTCTGGTATTTCTGGTGAGAAAATAAATTAGTGATTCTATTGATAATGTGTGCGTAGAGGGTTGAACCATAGTATAATTTTGTGTCATATGTAATTTAAATGTGAAATTGATTAATTCACCACTCTTTCTTTGGCTCTTTCAAACACTAATTCTCATCCCTAATAAAAATGTATAAAAAATGAAGGAAAAAAGTAACCATATGATATTGGTTTTAATACTTCTGGTGTATAAAGTTAACAAAATGATGACAAAGCATATTATACAATTTTATGAAGGAATATTGGAAGTTATTGGAATATTTGTGTATTGGAATATTTGTGTATTTGTGATCTTTTGCCAAAGAATAAACATAACATGGAACATTTTCAACATGTGCAACACAGCAGTGTTCCTTTGGAAAAGCAGACAGCATGTCATGTTGACACCAAATGTGTCTTATATGCAACAGGGAGCACCTTTCCCCTTTTCCCCAGCCCCAGGCCTTGAGTTTTCTAAAACTACCTCTCCCTCTCTCTCTCTCTCTGAACAGTTTGAAATACAAAAACTCAGAATCTACTGTGACCCTGAGCAGAATAACAGAGAAACAGCCTGTGAAATACCTGGAGTTGTGAGTACCAGAATCTTGGATGTTTCTGTTTTGGCCCATTCAAATATATTCCATCTATTAATGTCACATCGTATTAACACTGACTTGATATTTAAAATATTTTATCTTATTACCAGACAATTCTTTCTTAAAAAACTGAGAAGTAAAACAGTAAAACACAGAAGACTTTGTTCATTTATTTATTTTTGTAATTCCTATAATTCCAGTCCAACGTGTTTTGGAATGTTTTTAATGTACCAATCTTATCTAATACGTTCAAACAGAGCATGATATTTGCTCAGAACCGTTTATTAGAAAGTCAATCACATCTTTGTGAAACACTGGCTTTGTCATTGTCCTCAGTTCACTAACTCAATTTGCTTGACCTGGCATTATTTTCCAATCTCTTTCAGACTCACTGTTTAGAGATATAGGGCATATATAAACACTGTGGCAAACACTTCATTTTCACATCATTTTCCATTTCTGCTTGTGCATGTTGCAGTAAAGCCTTGCACCTCTAAGCTAAGTTATGGTTTTTGCCCTAGCCCCTTTACATATTTTCACTCCTTTTATTTTTAGGATGGAGAGGTATGTACTTTTGAAGATGGCTTTGCTCGCTTTCAAAAAAGTAACTGCTAATCTCATTTTGAATTGCAGAGGTAAGATTTGCCTCATGTTTTTTTGGAGTGTCTAAGTATTGTCATAACTGGAAAAATCTTGCAGTGGACTGACAGCAGCTTTGAGAATGAATGGCTGAATGATGCTGGTGTGAACCTTCTCACTGACAAAAGCATTCAGTCAAACTGCTTAAAACTACTTTAGCAATACCATGCTACTCTACTGTACTTTAAAGCATATCACAGTACTTTCAAGGTACTATGTAAAAAAAAAATCATGGTAGTGTCATGGTCCTTTTTGGTGTATCATATGGTGGCTTAAAGTTGGCATGAAACTTGAGATCATCTTTTCTTCCCTATTGTGACATATATTTCAGAGTGAACCAGCTTCTTAAATGAGAAAAAAATGTAGGTCACGACTTAATTTTTGTCCATGGGGAATTGATTGGATCACTGTTGTTTGCTAACTGCTGTGATCTCATGTAAGTGGCAGACTGCTGGAAGGGAGGGATTATTGCCCCGCCCTCACGCCAGTGCACAAGTCATCAGAGTCAGAGAAGAGATGTTGTTGCGAGGGGAAGAAGTTATTTTGATTCAAGATTATAATGTGAGCTAAAATAAATGAGCTAAAATAAACAAATAAATAATGATGTGCATAAATAAACCATTTATAATAAACAGTGCAATGTTCCATAAAAATAAAAATAGTTTATTTAGATTTCATGCTGACTTTAAAGCACCTTATGTCAATATCAGGTTCAACAATTGTGTTGTGCTGTATTTCTACTGCTGTCATTTGGCTATTTTAGAACTACTGGGCCGTACTGCTGAATGAATGAATAATTCGACAAAAATGGCTGCCATGAAATGAGAAATTGTATGCTGTTTTGGGTTTTGCCACAAAGTTTAGCTTATACCACAAAGAGGAAATTATGTCTGATGCTTTATGTTTTACAAAATGCACCATAGTAAAATGTTGTTTGTTGTTTTTTCTTCAGTGTGCTAATCGACCAGGTGACATTGATCCAACCCCAGAGCCATGCATCTGTCCACCTGGGCCATCTGGTGCACCAGGAATGAAGGTACAATAATCTTTCCCTCAATCTCTTTGGTCGGTTTATACAACAGCACAGTTTATATAATCTCTTCATTACATCAGAAGTCATTGCATAAAAGGCAAGTTTGAAGTTTATAAGGTCAAGCCTATGCTTGAAAACACATGCTGCTTTTCAGCAGGTGATCAAAGTAAAATGGCCCTGAATACTAAATAGTTTGCAGAAAGATTACTTTGACTGTGTGTGGCGATTAAAAGAGTTGCAGACAGAGCATATTGCTATACTATAATTTATATATTTTCACTTATTATTAAGTATTATTATTATTCCATTCATTTTCTCAAACAAGAGGCCAAAAAAGTTCTTATATTTTAATAATTGTAAAAAAAAATACAAAAATGTGTTAATAAATAAATGCCTTAAAGAGGTCATGAAATGCAGATTTTTATAAAGGTTAGTTTATAAAGTTTTTTTTAAATTTTGTACCAAAAATATCCAATATTTGTATAAAGTATAATTTTCCATCCTCATTTTCACCATTCATTGCTAATTCCCTGATCTTTAGGAAGGCTATGTAAAAGTTTTTGGAGCTGCAGTTTCTTTACATCCACTAAGAGAACAGTGTCTGAGTTTGATGGTCTTACTCCAACAGCAGTATTGCTCTTGTGATTAATGGACAGACATGAGTTGTTCAGAACACATGATTACATACGGTGATGATGCATATTTAAGAGCATGTAGAGGGGGATATTGTGATATTACGATTCTCCTGATTTCAGATCCTGGTGTTTCAAAGGGGTGGAAAATAATAATTAATATGTTAAACTGTTAAGTTAGTTTTAAGTTCTGAAACTTGCAGTATGTTTATATTGTAGTGTAACCTCTTGTATGTGTAAATATCAAGAATATTTTGATTCTCTATTTCATGACCCCTGAAATGCTTGAAAATGTTGTTGTTTTTCCAAACTAGCTTTTACCCATTGGCAAAGATACAATGATAGATATCTATTTGTAATGAATCATAATTTTCCAGTGAAATTATGTTAATACCATTTACAATACATCATTTGTACATTCTCTAGGGAGAACGGGGGACAATAGGAGATCCGGGTCAACCTGGCCCAGCTGGTGCTGATGGTAAGCCTGTGAGTACTACACAGTTTAATACAACCTCAAATTAACTTGAACACATGCCGTGTTCAATGCAGTATCCAGGACTGCAACATGCATTAACTTCCCCACAAGTGTGTCAGGATAGAACTGTCCATAGCATTCACCATACGAGAACGGTTTTCATTCTTTCAGAATGAAAGAATATTTACCATTTTGCTCATTTTATTTTTGTTGGTGCTCTTCACCGTGTGGTCACAAGTCAATAAACACAGAATGGTGTCTAGATGTCAGAAATCATTAATCATTTTTTTTTGCACTCTTTTGTAATTTACTTCAATTTCATATAATTATTAGGGCTGTCAGTTTAACACGTTAACTGAATTAATTAGTTATGAAAAAATAACACGATTAAAGGGTTAGTTCACCCAAAAATGAAAATTAGCCCATGTTTTACTCACCCTCAAGGCATCCTAAGTGTATATGACTTTCTTCTTTCAGACGAATTCAATCAGAGTTGTATTAAAAACTGTCCTTGCTCTTCCGAGCTTTAAAATGGCATGAGCGGGTGTTTTTGTTCAACAGTCTAAAAGTAGTCAAATAAAGCTCATCCATCCATATTAAAAAGTGCCTCACACGGCTCCAGGGGGTGAATAAAGGCCTCCTGACCCTAACCTAACTTAACCCTTTAAAATATTTTAATGCAGTTAATGCACTGGCCGCGCCTCCAGACCTGTACGTCATCTTACATTTCATACAGTTGACTGTTGACAAATATGATGCAGGGCAACCAAGGGGCAGCCTTACGGTCTCTCTCGTGAAACCAACGCGGAAGTGACTAAAACTGCAATTCATCGACTGGCCGCTAGAGGCTGGCTCCAAAAGGGAGTCAGTCCCATAGACTCCCCTTGTCAAAATGCCCAACTTTACAGCTGAAGAAAAATTTGTTTACAGCCTGGTACAAAAAGTGGTTTTGGTCTATATAGCTAATTTTGCCCTTCATGACAACTGTGAGGGAGGTGAATTTTTTTATAACTCATCCGTTTAAATTATATTAAGCCTTAAAGTTCTGCATAATTAAGGCGTGGTTTCAACAACCAGCTCCCGCCTCTTTGCCCATCTTCGATTATCCGGGAGTGACGCGCTAATGAATCATAATTTTCCAGTGAAATTATGTTAATACCATTTACAATACATCATTTGTACATTCTCTAGGGAGAACGGGGGACAATAGGAGATCCGGGTCAACCTGGCCCAGCTGGTGCTGATGGTAAGCCTGTGAGTACTACACAGTTTAATACAACCTCAAATTAACTTGAACACATGCCGTGTTCAATGCAGTATCCAGGACTGCAACATGCATTAACTTCCCCACAAGTGTGTCAGGATAGAACTGTCCATAGCATTCACCATACGAGAACGGTTTTCATTCTTTCAGAATGAAAGAATATTTACCATTTTGCTCATTTTATTTTTGTTGGTGCTCTTCACCGTGTGGTCACAAGTCAATAAACACAGAATGGTGTCTAGATGTCAGAAATCATTAATCATTTTTTTTTGCACTCTTTTGTAATTTACTTCAATTTCATATAATTATTAGGGCTGTCAGTTTAACACGTTAACTGAATTAATTAGTTATGAAAAAATAACACGATTAAAGGGTTAGTTCACCCAAAAATGAAAATTAGCCCATGTTTTACTCACCCTCAAGGCATCCTAAGTGTATATGACTTTCTTCTTTCAGACGAATTCAATCAGAGTTGTATTAAAAAATGTCCTTGCTCTTCCGAGCTTTAAAATGGCATGAGCGGGTGTTTTTGTTCAACAGTCTAAAAGTAGTCAAATAAAGCTCATCCATCCATATTAAAAAGTGCCTCACACGGCTCCAGGGGGTGAATAAAGGCCTCCTGACCCTAACCTAACTTAACCCTTTAAAATATTTTAATGCAGTTAATGCACTGGCCGCGCCTCCAGACCTGTACGTCATCTTACATTTCATACAGTTGACTGTTGACAAATATGATGCAGGGCAACCAAGGGGCAGCCTTACGGTCTCTCTCGTGAAACCAACGCGGAAGTGACTAAAACTGCAATTCATCGACTGGCCGCTAGAGGCTGGCTCCAAAAGGGGGGCAGTCCCATAGACTCCCCTTGTGGAAGTTACTTAAACTGTAATTCGTCAACTGGTCGCTAGAGGCTGGCTGCAAAAGGGAGTCAGTCCCATAGACTCCCCATGTTAAAATGCCCAACTTTACAGCAGAAAAAAATGTTTACATCCTGGTACAAAAAGTGGTTTTGGTCTATATAGCTAATTTTGCCCTTCATGACAACTGTGAGGGGGGTGAATTTTTTTATAACTCATCCGTTTAAATGATATTAAGCCTTAAAGTTCTGCATAATTAAGGGCGTGGCCACTCGAGTGACAGGTGGATTGCCACTGCTGTGAAATGGTCCTCACTGCAGAACACAAGATCCAGGGGGCGAGGTTTGATCCAGATCCAACTCCTCCCACCTTACATATACCTAAACCTACCCATCTCCACCCCCTGATCCCTAAACCCACCCATCTCCACCCCTAAACCTACCCATCTCCACCCCCTAGATGTGGATCCAACCCCGCCCCCTGGATCTTTGTTCTGCAGTGAGGGGCTACTGCAGCTCATGGGGAAAGATTTCCATTTTCGATTATTCGGGAGTGACGCGCTGTCAAGATGGCGACGGCCGGCTCTGCCAACTTTGAGCTTCAAAAACGCTCTTCAGAAACCTACGGGTGATGTCACGGACGCTACGTCCATGTTTTTATACAGTCTATGAGGGCAACAACTCCATAAATGCAGTTATGCCCTAAAACTCAAGATATTGGTGCAAAAATTTCCCTGTATGTGTTTTTGACTCATATTTATATCAAAAGATAAGCGATATCACATGAGCAGCGAGAGCTATATGACACAAGTGCTGATTTTGTCCCGAATACCACGAGTGCAAATGTGATTTTATACAACAGTTCAGTAAATAAGAAGTTGATATTGCATTATATTTTAAACACAATATTATGCTTTGCACAATTTTGCAGAGAACATATTACCTTTAAAGCCATAACAGAATTGTTGCACATCTCTGAGCAACACAGCTGTGTTTAGTTTAAATGAATCTGCATTTTGAACGAATCGTGTGAGCCAATGATTCAAAGGCCCATTCATAAAGAGAGCCATTTACTTAATTCCTGAATGAATCAGTTGTTTGAATTGAATGAATAAATGACTCATAAAGACATTTACCGCCACCTGCTGGCAGATTTAGTTTCTTATTTAGAGTATCATTTCATTAAAAAAATAATAATAATAAAAATAAAAACATTAAAGAGATGTTCTGTCATTATTTACTCACTTTCATGTCGTTTCAAACCTTTCTTTTGTGGAACATAAAGGAAAGTATTTTGAAGAATGTTGGTAACAAAGCTGTTTTGGTTACCCATGACTTTCATTGTATGAACAAAAAATACTGAGATGTTTCTCAAATTATCTTCTTTTATGTTCCATAGTTTACGTTAGGTCGGTGTAGCCTAAATGTTTATGTGTAATACATTTTATGTTGACTCAAATAAAATATTTCTATGTAACTAATTAGATTAACATTTTTAATCGACTGACAGTTCTAGTAATTATATTTATTATTCTTATCTAAATGTATAGTATATTGATAGAAATGTTTTTGATCAATGAGTTAAAAATGAATGCTGAAATGTGACCTAAACAAAATCTTAAATATTTATTTCTCACTTTGTCATAATGACAAAAAACACTCAGATTTTTGTACGTGCAATGTATTGTAGCGAATCAGCTCATGGGGAAATATGAATAATTAATCATAACTAGTTATAATTAATTATAAATATTTAGATCCGCTGTAGATATTTACTTGACCTCTCAGGGTCAACTGTCTGTCAATTCTAAGAACGTTAATTTCCTGGTTAAGGGAAATAACTTTCTTACTGTACAACTCTACACAGAGCCTGTAGCATAAATCTGCAGTTATGAGCAAACAATGACCAACGTCAAGTGTGATACAAGTAAGACTTTATTAACTACATAAACACTTAAACGAGTCTAACATACTACATAAACACTTAAACTAGTCTAACATACTACATAAACAATTAAACTGGTCTAACATACACATAAACACACACACACACACGCATACAGTTGGTATAGGAAAGGGTTAAAGCTTAAGCAGTAAAGAGGAGAGAAATAAGGAATGAAGTTATGGAACCATTTGCATATTCAGCAGATCTACACCTGAGGGAAACGTCAGATTCTTAGTTCAAACACACCTTTGTAAAAAGGTGCAAATGATACCTAATGTATCAATTAATAAGACTAAGTTTGAATACTTGCACGTCTGTTTTGGTTACCCATGAGTTTCATTGTATGAACAAAAAATACTGAGATGTTTCTCAAATTATCTTCTTTTATGTTCCATAGTTTACGTTAGGTCGGTGTAGCCTAAATGTTTATGTGTAATACATTTTATGTTGACTCAAATAAAATATTTCTTTCTAAAGCTACAATTTGTAATGTTTAATTGATACTTTCTCATTTAACACAAATATAGCTTTAAAGGGGTCATATGATGCTGCTAAAAAGAACATTATTTTGTGTATTTGGTGTAATGAAATGTGTTTATGCGGTTTAAGGTTAAAAAAACACATTATTTTATTTGCCATGGGGACCAGGGTCCTGGGCCTCATTCACAGACAACTTGGCACCCAGTATGTTTATTGGGTGAGGGGTCTGTGAATGTTTGTTAATCTAATGAATAATTGATTTGTTAAATCAAATGAAAAATGGTGTGTCTGATTGGTCCAGACGCTACAGTATGTACAAATAATAGAGGTGCAATGTCACAATTAGGTCCAATATACAATGCTTGATCTCACAATCTTACTTGTAATGAAGCCAAAGTAAGAAGAAGAGAATATTTAAAATGGAAAGTCTGGTATTACCATTTTTGGTATTATGTGTAAACTTAAATAGACTTGGCCTTTTTCCTAATCACCAAATAAACAGGACAATGGTGACACCAGAATAGAAATATTCATGATTCTGCTTAGCTGAAAATACAGAATTATGTTAAGACACATATGCTCTGTTACTGTTACGGGGCTGACAAGACGTGAGATGTGCGGATCCATGTGCAAGCTTTTATTTAAAGCAGAAGAGGTCAGAAACACAGGCAGGGTCGAACAATGGCAAACAGGTATATGGCGGGCAAGACACAAGAATAATCCTAGGGCTAGCGAAGGTCAACGAACGGCGAACAGAATCAAAAGGGCGAGACTAAAGGGATAAATCCAGGAAAACAGGCGAAGATCAGAAACCGAGAAAACAGGCAAGGCAATACTAGGCTAGGCTAGGAGGCTAACGAGGGCTCTGTAGTGTAGCTATCAAATGATAAGCGCTAAACAATACTCGGCACCGGGAAGGGATCAGAGTGAGTGTTAAATAGTGAGTGAGTGATATGAAACAGCTGTGTGCAATCAGTGCTGTGTGCAATCAGTGCAATGAATGATGGGATATGTAGTCCGGGGTGATATGCAACAGTGTGTAGTGCGAGAGTCAATGAAAATGGAAAGGGTGACCTCTGATGGCTAGCAGACGGAAGTTCATGGACCGGATACGTAACAGTTACAGACTACATACATTTCAAAATAATGCAATACATTTAAAAAAAATATTGTCACTTACTTAAAAAAAATAAAATACATGTTTATGGCAGTGCATGATTGTACAGTAAACTAATGTAGAACCTATTTTAATTTACTGGTAAAATTAGATACTGTATATATAGTGGTTCTTTTTTATTAAATTAAATTGTATTAAGTTATTATAATTTGTATAATATTATTATAATGTAATGAACACTCTACATTTTGAAAACTGATAAAAAAATTAAATTCCTAATATTAATTCCAATAATTCTATTAAAACAACAGCAATTATTCATGTCAATAATTCTATTAAAACAACAACAACAGCAAAAAAATGTGCACGACTGCCAGGTTGTGAAGATAAAGTAAAATGCAGGCCAAACCTGTGTTACGAGAGTGGGCAATGTAGATGTCGGCAAGCTCACATGTGCCAAGTAGCAACTGGCATCCCAAATTGTAACCTACCCAGCACCTCGTTATGAGCCAGATAATCTTTTGTACTAAGATCAAAAGAACAGTATTTACCATGAGGAGGGTCATAGCTGCCACTAGGGATTGGCGATATCTTATCTTTTGCGATATACCGGTAAAAATTCTCCCCACGATTAGAATGAATCTTCCCGCGATAATGACGATAAAGTCTAGTTGTTGACATATTTCTGTTTGCGACAGTGCGGAGCGACATCGCGGAAGGCAGACGTGAAATTGAGGAGGAGTTTATTGCTAAATGAGGAGCTCCTTCTACAATCTGGAACTGGTTTGGTTAGGGCTGTACAGTGCACAAAAAATCGGTCTGAATAAGAGAACTCCAGTAGCATGTGTGCGATACAGTTTTGCATGTGTATGAGCCTGTTTACAAACCTGTTGTCCAACAAAGATATAATTTATTGACATGCTACAGCTCACCTTGTGTCTGGTACACCAAGGCGATGGCATCCACTAGCCAGTGGGCCAACCTCTGTTTGGAGACAGCCTTTCCCTTCTGCTGACCTCCAAAGCAGACAAAGTTTTGCCCAGAGCTACTTAAGCTCTGTGAGCAGTTCACGTAAATGCACAAGGCACAAACAGCACACAGCAACTCGAGGGCTGGGTCTGCCTCCTCCAAGGGATTGGTGGGAACTTTGGGCATGTGTCTCAGGGTCTCAGGATGAAGTAAAAGTCAGCCAGCCCGAATTCAAGGCACGTGCTGCTGACTGAAGCAAACCAGAGAGAGGCTCTGTGTTCAGGCAGTCTGAGACATGAGAGTATGCGTCCTTAAGGTAGATCACTGCAAACCAATCTTGCTGGTGAACGCACGTCAGGATGTGCTCCTGCCACAACATCTTGAATGGGAGCTTGTGCAGGGCCTGATTCAACATACACAGATCAAATAAATGTAACCGATCCTTTGTAGGGTTCGAAGAAGTGAAGGTTACAAAGCCCCAACTCCATCTTGGCTGGAGGGCCAGGCTTTATTGCATCCTCCGCCAGCAGGAACACAATCTCTGGACAGAGACACCATTTTTTTGCCACCAAGGTAAATAGGACGCCACTGAACCTGCGGGGACGCCTGCCAAAATGAGTCACATAACCGAGTCTGATTGTCCAAATGAGCCAGCGGGATGGGCTGGGAAGCGCTAGACAAGCTACATAGTGGAACAAAGAGCAGCACTGGACCCTGACCTGGGAAGCTTTGCGTCCCGAGGAAGAAGTAGTGGCCCTGCATGATAGTCATTACCTGGCTCCTTGCTCCATGGATCCTGCAAGGGAGTAGCTAGAGTTGCATGAAGAAGCAGCATATCCCAAAAATAAGAGCTCTGAGCCTGTGACGTTTGAAGTGTTGAGACTGGGAGTGATGAGGTTTCGCATCGCTCACTGTCAGACCACGCCAGGTGTGACCTAGAGACTTAGGGAACTGCTCTTTCATAGAGAATCTATGAAACAGAATGAAACAGAAGACTCTCCACCCATTCCTCCTCCAGGGGAAGGAGCAGTGTTTTCACCAATTCCTGGAAAAGAGCAGCTCTCTCCCTCTCTGGGTTGCTCATCTCAGGGCCACTTCATTGCCTCATGGAGGGTAGGTTTAGTGGCAGGACGGGCTACATCAGCTTTCTGCAGGTGGCTTCATGTTGGTTCTGGCCACACCAGGGCGGACTGGGGACCAGCCCTCGTCAGCCTGGTGGCGGTGGTCACATGCCAAGGCAGAATATGTTTGATGGCCTCTGTCTGTTTTCAATTTGCCGAGAAGTGCTGGGCAAGTTCTTGACAGTGTGGCTAAAAAGGGTGGCTTGGGAGATGGGGGTGTCAAGAAAGCACACTATGTCCTCATTGCACATAACTGCAAGGTTCAGTCAGAGATGGTCTTCCTGGACTACCAGAGTGGACATCAAGCCAAAGTTGGTCACTGTACGCAGTTCCGGCATCAACACCAGCAAGTCTGAGCAGCAAAAGTTGACCTCAGCTCACCGGTCTTGGAAGGAAAGCATGTATGGCTGGGAAGCAGCTTCGGGCAGTAAAAATGTCCCCTTTCATGACTTTATTACATCCCCATGCACTTACAGGAAGAAAGGCATCGGTTACACTTTATTTCGATAGTCCACTTTAGACATTCTATTAACTTTAAGTAACTCTGTAACTACATGTCAACTACATGTCAACTAATTCTCATTAATTTGCAACTACATGTCTACTAACTCTCAGAGTAGACAGGGTAGGTTTAGGGTTAATAGAATGTTGACAAAGAAAGTGTTAGAAGATATTAAGCAGACAGTCTACTAATACTCTAATGACTGCTAGTTGTCATGTAGTTGCAAAGTTACTTACAGTTAATAGAATGTCTAAAGTGGACTATCGAAATAAAGTGTTACCAAGGCATCCAGCCGCAAGTGCTTGGGACAGGGTGGAGGATTAAACTCCAGTCTGCTGCTCTTGGTGCCCTGGAAAAGCATGTCCATCAACTCCAAGTCAGACTCTGACTAAGCAATTAGCCCAGAGAGGTGACGTTCATCTGAGACTTCATCCTCACCCTCCAATGCAGTGACTGAAATCTGATCCTCTTTGGGAGTGCCAAATGACACACTAGATCGGCCTGAGATGGACAAACAGCATCACTCGTGAGCTTGATGGCACACGACGCATGAGAGGAGCGTCAGGTCCGTGGGGACTGGCCCAGTGGAAAGCTTGCACTATAATCCTCTGATCTACCAGAGCGATAGTCAGTGTGGCACTGTGTAGTGCAGAGGGACTGGGCTGAGTAGCAGCAGTGGGGACTCAAGCCTTTGTGAGGAAGGCAAGTCATGATCGCAGCGTCGTCATGGTTATGCTCTCATAACAAGTGCATAAATCATCCATAAACATTTTCTCTGCATGCTTACAGCCCAGACACACAAGACAGCAATCATGGCTGCCAGAAGTGATTGGGAGTGATTGCTCACGAGCAACTACTCGGCCCCGAAGCAAAAATCTGAATGATTGGATGCACAGCCCCACATTATATACCTGTAAGTACAAGGGAGTGGTTAGGAAGGCAAATTCCACTCACCAATATTCATTGGCCTTTTTCATACTACTCAGAGGTGATTGGGGTCGACGTAACACTGAATGTTACATTATCTTGCAACCTCTAGCATTTAATATCAAAAGGGTCTTTATTTAACAATTTATTTATTTATTGTTAAGAAAATATAGAGAGATTTGGGATATAAACTACAATTTAATATAGTCTTTTTGTCAACAATATTGCAAGTTGTTATAGTCACAGTTAGTGTTCAATTATGTAAGTGAAAATAAATATATATTTTTGTTTTCATATTCTTTTGAGTATTCATTTCTGGTACAGGGGCTCAGTTACGCAAGTTTGAACAGTAAAAGCTATTAAAACATTGGAGGAGAACACAGTCATTGTTTCCATAATAGTGCTATACATCTAGCCCAAGGGAGTGAAACTAGATAAAGCACGGAGGAGTTGTAAATGGGTTTGTGGGCGTATGTAGGGTTGCAATTTTGTCTGCAGCTGCAGTTTTTCTAAGCATGAGTTAGTTTGACTGAAAAATTTGTTGAGCATGAATGATGAATAACCCACAAAAGAGCTCTGAAAGTTTGGTGAATGTGCAATAACGCAACACCTGGATGCCATACTTGCAAGTCTTCATGTCTTTATGAATGTGTGTCCACATTATGCACATATGCCTGCTCGTCTAAACTATAAACAGCTGTTTTTTTGTGAAGCAAAGCGTATTTCACTTCATTTAATTTTATTATACTGATAGCATTCACAGATAACAGTTAATGTTCCTAACACAATGGTAAAGTAAACATTTCTGTGCAAACTACCTAATTCTAAATATCTTTAAGAAGCGTAAAAATACGACTTTTGGTACCAACCACCAATAAGGTAGAAGTAACTCTTAAACTCTTTTTTATCTTTATCAACAAATGTTCAGTCAAAGGATGTGTTTTACCTATACTCAGTCATTTGTAAATAATGAGAAATTAAATTTTATGTTAGAAAATAATTTGCTGAACAATTAAAAATCCCCACATCAAAAACATGGCCTGTAATGCTTCCTAAAAGAAGTCAAAGTGATACCAAAATACTGTATAGTATGTTTGTGGAATAACCTTTTCACTTTCTTTTGTGCAAATGTCTAAGGTCAAGTCACTGTAAGGCTAACTGTTTAAATGAATAAAAGAATTCTATTGAGGAGAATCTTATGAATATAGTGCCCTTTGAGGCTTGGCAACTGTATACAGTGATCTCATAAAAAGCAGAGAATTGTGCAACATTCTCACATGTCAACAATATATTTGATTAAGAAAAAATCTGAATTTCAAAAAACAGTGGGGGTTATTTTATGTCACAAAAACAAAGACACAAGTGTCATCGTCCAGCTGGAGTCTGCACAAATCTTTCATGTAGGCGTGTTCAGATTGCACACACTAATAATAAAACGCATACTCAGGACAAATCATCCAGATCTCGTTGAAATCTTCACATGAACTTTGTCTCTTAATCTTGCTGTTATTTTTGAGTTTTATTTCTTGTCTTTGTGTGTAAAAACAATGTCCTTTTCAAGATAAATTTTACAGCAATTACGTCCATACTTCCATAAAAGCCATTATCATTCAGTGCTAATATGTTTTTTTGCTAATACAAACATACCTATTATCATTTTATATACAGACATTCCTACAGACTCCCACAGGAGCATTTAGGATTAGAAAATGAGAAGCAGTTATTAGAAATTGGTCTTTTTTACAACAACAACAACAACAGATCTGAATGATTTCCTATAGGCTCAGTTTTTCGTGCATTACTTCCGCTGATGTAGACAGAGCAGTATCCTGTTCTGCTATTCAGAAGCACCTACACAATGGGAACTATACAGCACAATCAGCGTCATCCAATTCCAAATCTGTATGAGTTTCTGTGGAACACAAAAGAAGATATTTTGAAGAATGTTGGTAACCAAGCATTTGCTGGTAGCCACTGACTTCCACAGTAGAGAAAATACTATTTAATGGCTACCAGCAACATTCTTCTTGTTCCCTTTCAGTCGGTCACTCTCGACGTCACGTCGGATGACCGACGAAATTGGGATCTCGCTTAGAGAGACCAATCCACTTCGAGTGTAAACTAAACGAGCCAATGCACATTGGCATGCGATTATTGCATCCAGCTGCTGCTTCAGGGAACGAGGGTTACCATACGTAACCGAGACGCTTCATATCAATTAAATCGTCTTTTGTGTACAACAGAAGAAAGAATCTCATACAGGTTTGGAACAACAAGAGGGTGAGTAAATGCTGATAGAACTTAAATTTTGGGGTGAACTGTCCCTTTAAGAGCTGGGGCTTTATTTTCCAAAAGCATCGATAGGGAACCATGATCGCAAGTTCCATCATTACAAGCATAGTTCAACAATTCTACGTATGATTTCTAGTTAGTTTGATGTGAACCTAAATAGATCATGCTCTTGAGCAAAATAAGCAAGATAACGCAATATATCCACACACACACACACATATATATGTATATACACATGCCTACCGCATACTAAAAAAACAACCATGAGCACAAAGAAAATGCAGGAGAATAGCAAAACAAAACATATCTTGATAAGAACGGACAAATACCGAACTGAACGCGGGTCTAAATAAACACGGTAAACAATAACTAAATTAGAAACAGGTGAACAAAATGGGAAACCAATGAGAACATACTTTGAAACCGAGGAAACAAAGGAAACAGGAAAAGAAGATGGATACCAAAAAATGAATACCAAAATAAGAGTCCTTGAACACAGAAACCTAGGCACAACTTGACAATATTCAAATTTATATGAGAAAGAATGTGTGTAAGTGCTAAGTATGCTGTAAGAGGGAACATGAGACTAAATCAGAGAAATACATTGTTGTTTGGAAAACATACCTCAGATCAGTTACTAAGTTAAGCTGACTCACTGGAACGTGTGTTGTAAGGTTTCCAAGTTTTACTTTTGTCAAACTTTGGTTCTTTCGAAACACATTTGGTAACACCCTACCAACAATGTACCTGTCTCATACAGTGGTGGTGGGTAATCCGTAATCCGTAGTTCACGTTTTCCGTTCGCTGTGGGGCCCGGTGCGACTGCACCAGTTACACCGCCGAAAGGATGGCCCTGCTGTATAATATACTTCTTTATATTTAAAGGGTTAGTTCACCCAAAAATTAAAATTCTGTCATTAATTACTCAGCCTCATGTCGTTCCAAACCCGTAAGACCTTCATTCATTTGCGTAACACAAATTAAGATATTTTTGATGGAATCCGAGAGCTCTCTGACCCTCAATAGACAGCGATGATATTACCATGATCAACGTACAGAAACGTAGCAACGACATCAGTTGTAATGTCTGTTTTGGGTTTTGTTTCATGTTCTTGTTTCATGTCTTTTATTTTGTAATAAGATTCATGCTGTTGCTGTCATGTTTCCTTTGCCCTCATGTATTTCTGCCTTGTGTATGTGTCATGTTCTCATTGGTTGTCTTAGTCATGTGTCTTGTTTCTCATGGGTTGGTTCTTGTCATGTGACCCTCTTTGTTTTATATAAATAGCCCTCATGTTTCCTTAATTCTTTGTCTGTTGTTGTCCTGTAAAGGCTGCTTTGTGTGCTCCTTGTCTCGTCTTGCCATTGCCATTGCCAAGCCTGGATTACATTGTGTTTTTGTTTAATAAATCCTTTTTAACTGCATTTGGATCCTCTGCTTCATCTGCACTAACGTTACATCAGTAAAATAGTCCATGTGACATCAGAGGTTCAACCGTAATTTTACGAAGCTACGAGAATGCTTTTTGTGCGCAAAGAAAACAATAATAACAGAATTTATTCAGCAATTCTTCTCCCCGAGTTACCGCCTTACGCCATTTTAGAGAGTACTTCAGGACATAATCAACGTAATCAGCGTTGTTTATGTTCAACATTGCATGCGCTTTCGCTGAATGTAATCAGCGTTGTTTACCTTCAGTAGACAGTGCGCGCATGCTAAACGTAAACAATGCTCATTACATTGATTACGTTCTGAACGATCCCTTTAATCCTTTTACTTAATATTCTGTCCTTAATCTGTATTACTTTAGTACAGTATATATATCCTGTTATATTCTATAAAGATGAAGAGAATGTTGGAAATAAAAGGTAATTTAAGAAAAATATGTATTGTACTATTTCCTTGAAAATAAAACTAAAAAGTGCTTGAAAGTCCTAGACTTTCATGAAGTGCCTGTATGAACTCTATTGTCTTCACATAGTTGTCTGAAACCATGCAATCATTATTCAGTGAAGCCATGCCTTAATATATTTGTAATCGCAAAGTTCATAAAAAGTCATTTTTGAGGCTTACTGTAGCCTCAATAAAATATACATTTAAACTTAAATTAAATTAAATTTCAATTAAAGATAATAAATGCACATTTTGGGCTGAGAAGGATGTTTTGAGTTCTGAAATTTGCAGTATATGTTCACACTATATCAAACTCTTTTATCTCAAATGAATAAGGCAAATTAGATTTTTCATTATATGATCCCTGTGGAATGTGGGAAAAATTATAATGTGACTTTTTGTGTTGTGTTCTTCCAGACTCACCTTGATATTCATTTGCATGACTGTGGGTCAGACTAATATAAGACTCTTTCTTTTTTGAAGGGTGTCCCAGGTTCTAGAGGAAGTCCCGGCTTTCAAAGCTTTCCCGGAATGCAGGTATGAATGCACAAGTCACAAATGGACATACCCTATAAAACCTCATAAGATACTTGATCATGCCACTTTTTTCCCTCTGTTTGAGCAGGGGCCACGTGGAGATGATGGGCATAAGGGGGAAAAGGGAAGTCCCGGGGAAGCAGTAAGAAATTATGATTTCATCCCTAAATGTTCTATTTTAATTATGGCAACATATTCAGTCACCATATATTCACATATGCTCTCGTAAGTTTTTGGATGCAGAGTCAGTTTTACTCAGATACCTCACACATATTCCAAGGTTTTTAATTTGCTGGAGTCAATACTTGTGACTGGTTTTGTTTAGATTTTGCTTAGTATATTTAAGTTCAGGTAGATATTATTTAGAATATTATTAGATTATATAGAACTTATTTCGCTGAATTTACTGAAATGATTTTTTTTCAGTGTGTGTGTGTGTGTTTGTCTTTAGGGTGACAGCGGTATCCCAGGGTTACCTGGGCCACCTGGCAAACCAGGAGAAAAGGTCAGTTTTATAAATGATTTTTTTTCAGTGTGTGTGTGTGTGTGTGTTTGTCTTTAGGGTGACAGCGGTATCCCAGGGTTACCTGGGCCACCTGGCAAACCAGGAGAAAAGGTCAGTTTTAAAAGTGTTAAAAGATGTTTAATAAATACTGTAAACTGAATAATTTATTTGGCCATTGCTGTTTTATCGTTGACAGTAAAATATCAGGTACAACTGACTATACGTAGGAACATCTTTATATATTTTTTTTCTGGAGCACTGTTCCAAGATGCATGTGCCATTTTTTAAAATTGTCATTAATCAGGCACATATGGGATTTTGCTTTAATTTGGTGGAAATTCTTGGGGGAACCCTGTGTAATGGATTTAAAATGTCTAAAATGAAGATGATGACAGTGCTACACTTTTAATTCCAATTCAAGGATTATCAAATTAGCCAAAATATGTAATAATCAAAAATGTATGAGGTGGAAATCTGTGGGTGCTTATTCCATGTGGACCTGGCCACAATCTTCAGAGATCGTAGTCCACTTTCATGTCTTACATGTTAATATCATGTTAACATGGGTCTTACATGCAACTTTTGGATTTCATATAATAGTCCATTATTATTAGCTAAATTAACAATTGATTAGAATTAATAATAGCTTATTAGTAAAGCATATACTTTTTTATAGTACCCACGGTCAAGAATAGCATTTTTTTTTTTACCACTTGCACATGAAAATGCATAATTTTTCTGTCACAAAATGTGAACTTATTCTAAATAAGAATGATTAATTGATCCTTAACTTTTCATAGCGTGATGGATGAGTTTGCATGTTTGCAAAAACTACCAGGTTGCTAAGGATATCAATGCCTGCAATGCTCCTGGATCATTCTTCATTGCTTAAGCCTAGAAACACACTATTGTTTAAAGGTTTTTCATCATTACGCAGGCTACGTGTAAGCCAATATCATCAGTTCACGGCAAGTATAACAAAAGTAGGCAAATCTTTTTGATGACAGAAGCTTTTCAAATCGTGATATGTAAATTAAGCACTATAATTTTATGTGTAACAGTTGCTATTTTTAAAGGGAAACTGTAAAATACTTATATGTGCGATTAAATATAATGTTCACACTTCTCTGAATTAAACCGCCATCATACACACCATCATACAAAAAAACGCCCTCGAAAGACACCTCAGCCAACCCGATGACGATAAACCTGACCGTGCACACTAGAGCCATTCTGATTGGCTAAAACTGAAAGGGTTTCAGAGAGTTTGTTATTTCTCAGGTGGTTATTTTGGCAATGCATGGTTGTGAGTTGCTTTGTTTGTGCGATCATCACAGATGAACATAATGTTACTCCACTCGAACTCTGCAAGTGCTGTGTGAGAGTGAGTTTGAGTCGCTTAATTTGTATTTGGCAACGCAACGTGCGCCAAACATCTCCCCAAATGTGCAATGAGAATCGTTTATAAACCTGTTGTCAACAATAAGAAGAGTTAAGGTTTCCCTGCGGATTCCAAAAGAAGACTAAAAGTATTGTGTATTCTGTTAGTCAAAGTTAGTAGAGGGGAACTGACTTAAATCAAAACTCTAGCTAGCAGCACTTACTAGCATGCCACTTGCTTGATAGTGACATTCCTATTTTTATGTTTGATTTGAAAGTCTCCAAATACGAAGCCACTGCTTAACTTTGTATACCAGTTTGAATTGGAATAATTTAGTTCATTTTCATTATTTATATATTATAACATAAAATATAAAATATTTTCAGTGAAATTAATGTTTATCATTACTCTGTGTTTTCTCTCTAGGGGTCTGCTGGCAATCAAGGAATACAAGGACTACCAGGCAAAGATGGACAAATGGTATGGATACTTTCCTCTTAATTTTCTTAAAGGGATAGTTCACCCAAAAATGAAAATTCTGTCATTAATTACTCACCCTCACGTCGTTCCAAACCTGTAAGACTTCTGTTCATCTTCGGAACACAAATTAAGATATTTTTGATGCATTCCGGGAGCTCTCTGACCCTGCATAGACAGCAAAGATCTTTACACGATCAAGGCTCAAAAATGTTGCAAGGACATCGTTAAAATAATCCATGTGACATCAGTGGTTCAACCATAATTTCACGAATTTACGAGAATAATTTTTGTGTGCAAAGAGAACAGAAATAACGACTTTATTCAACAATTCGTCTCCTCCACGTCACCTTATAGCGCCATTTTGGAGAGTGTCACATACGTAAACAACGTATGCTGTTCTGTGTCAGCAGCACCTTACGCGGATATGGTGTTTACATTGTTTGCGCTTTGATCTGAACGTAAACAACCTGTCCGCGTACATACGTTGCATACGTTGTTTACATATGTGATACTCTTTAACCATAGCATAAATCTTCCCCTTTTTATTTCCAGCTCTCTCTGTTCTCAAAGACGGGTGTTTTGTTTGTTTGTTTGTTTTTATTTCTCTTGACATGAAAATTTAGTGCACTTCAAAATTTAGGCCTAGTCATTCAGGATAAAAGTAGCCACTGCTTCTCTTTGCCACCACCTGACCAATAATGCTAGTATTGTTCTAAGACTGTTCGTGTAAACAGTGATTTTGGATCTGCACCGTACCTCAGCTCTTCACTGGATGTGTTTTTATCCCACTTCATATCTACAATCCCCCTGAGATAATAGCTAATGAACAGCTGGATGGAGTTTTTTTTTTTGGTGCATGATCTTAGTTATTGAATAAGTTCCTGTGCTGAAAAGTACTGATATAATGTTGGAATGATACATGATGTACTTTGTACTTAGGGAGATGCTGGTATGGATAAATAAAACAATAACTTTCACAAATCAAATATGTTAATGACTTGAACAGCAATGCAACCTCGTTTGTTTGTTATTCCAATACTCTATATTGCATTAACAGACATACTGTCTATTTTAGGGAGAAAAAGGGAGTAGAGGCCTTGCTGGTCCACCTGGATATCCAGGAGAGCCTGTATGTTTACCACTCAATCATTTCTCCACTTCATTTTTGTGAGTGGTCAGTTATTATGCTTTAATGCCATTTTGTGTGTGTGTGTGTGTGTTTATCAAGGGAGCACCTGGCAGGGATGGGAAAGATGGAATTCCTGGAGGAATTGGTCTAAAGGTCTGTACTGATACAGTTCTTCTCACCGTAAAAGACTGAACATGTTTAATGGCTTCCTTGAACTGTGAACATGGACCATTGAGAATATTTGGCAAGCCCACTTTAAGGAGGCTACACAGGATTCCAAGATGCAGTATTATTTGACAGAATTGCATGAAAAAATATGCTAGTGCAGAATCTCCTTATGGAAAGCCATAAAAAGGTTTGCACCATCGTTTCCTCTTTCATGCTGATCTACGGTGTCTTTTTTCCAGGCTTACAGATGGCTTTTATTAAACCAAGCTGTTCCTCAACATCTTGGTGGTTGCCTATATGATAAATCCTGGTTTATTTGATTAGTATCAGATCTTTAAACATGCACTACTCCCTTAAAGTTCACTTTTATTTCTTCAAGCCAGAGAACAGCAATGAAGACCAACTCACCACTGAGTCATTCCATGTTTAATAATCATTATGTTGACAAATTTGCCATGCTCAAATACTTCTTGCTTACACATGCTCTTGCCTACATGTAGAGGATAAAAATAAAACGCATGACACTGTTTAAGATTTATTGCAGCTTAATCATACCGCTTGCTTTAAAAGACATCAAGAGTGTCTTGTATTGCTGTAGTCATAAGTCATGAGAAACCAAGAAACACATTGTTGCTGCCTTAATGTTATTGCCAGCAGATTCAGTGGCATGCCATCTTGTTTATTAAACAATAAAAAGATTAGGATTTGAAGTGAAATGTTCTCAGTATTGTATGCATGCAAAATGCGCTCATTGTTATTTGCATGGAAAAATCCAACAAGTTTCAAACACTCCCATCCCTGTTAAGATAAAGAGATGTGGTGCACTTTTATTCTGACTATATGATCTTTGTCTCTTCAGGGAGATCCAGGACTGCCTGGAATTCCTGGAGTGGATGGAAGAGAGGGACATCCTGTGAGTATATTTTAAAACTGATCTTTGCCAGGTGTTTTAGTGGGTGGACTGCATTGAAGAGCAAGCCGTTGAATAATACCAGACAGCATTTAAGCATGAGGAATACTCCCTTTTTGCTTCATCTAATACAACACTCCAGTTTGGCGCAATGAAGACATGATTTGAAGTCTTATTGATGGTTAAGTCTTTGCACCTGGACTGGGGAGAAGAAAATTTCAATGTAGTCTGAGAAAAACTGTAAGTGACTCAGCAATGCCGTTCAGCAGACTAGCGCTAAACTCATCTTTAGAGAAATTGGTCTAAGAGCCACAGATTTTTATAGCTCTACTGGGAGAACACTTCAAGTTTTAATGAAAGTCAGCTAACTAGAGCCATCTAGCTGGTTTTGGAATAAACAGCAAACAGGCCAAATCTATACAATGCATTGCATGCATTAAACATAACGCTATCCCTGTGCACCTTCATTGCATGCATGGTGTGTTTGAGATCGTTATTGTGATAGAAATTAGATGATTGTTCTCCAAGCAGATCTTCCATACTCACCTTGCAGTGCGAGATAAAACCAAAGTTCCCTTTCAGTCGGTCACTCCGAGTCACGTCGGTGACCGACGAATTGGAATTGGGATCTCGCTTAGAGAGACCAATCCACTTTGAGTGTAAACTAAACGAGCCAATACACATTGGCATGCGATGATTGCATCCAGCTGCCGCTGATCGCAGCTTGAGTATAATTAGGTAGCAGGTGCAAAGCATACTCAGCTTTTCGCTTTGGAGCCGAGTTTTTTGGAAAAATGCAGGATTTTGACATCAAGATTTCAAAAGCTTGAGGCTTGAAAGGGCTGAAAGATAGAGATCTAATGTAAATTAGAAAAATGTTGGGCATGACCGAAAGTTTATGTGGGGTGTAAATATACTCATCTAATTTGCATATTATGCATCCAGCTGCCGCTGATCACAGAGTGAGCATCGACAACATCGTTCTGCTCCTACCAAACTGCTTTGTGTGTGATGAGTCTAGCACGCTCTCAGGAGCTTTTTGTGTTGGTGGACGGCGCTTCAGCAGTGGTCGTTTCTGTGTCGAGTGGGTTGCGCACTTCAGGCTGCACTACCCCCTGTTGTGCTGCAAACGGCCGTTTCCCCTGTGCGTCTCAGCACGTAAAAGAGCATTTCCCTAAAAGAGCCCTTTTCTTCTAAAAGAGTACAATAAGTGGGTGCGTCTTTGTAAAGACGACGGATCGTCTTTTTAAAGATGCCGTTTCACCCGTGCGTTTCTGGATGCGGTCATTACCTGGCGCTGGGTGATGGTCATGATCGCTGCCTCACGTGTCTGGGCATGAAGCACGCTGAGGTGCCGTTCGCGGATGAGTCATGTTCCCATTGCGGGAAGATGACCATCTCGGAGCTGCGG